GGACCCCCTGGGGACCCCCTGGGACCTCCCGGGGACACCCAGGACACCCCAGGACACCCCAGGGACCTCCTGGGGATCCCCTGAGACCTCCTGGGGACACCCCAGGGACCCCCTGGGGACATCCTGGGACATCTTGGGGACCCTCCCCCGAGGACCCCCTAGGACCCCCCAGGACCCCCTGGGCATTGAGCACCGGGGGGACATTGGGGACACTGGGGACATCAAGGACATGCTGGAGACATTGGGGACACCTGGGACACCCTGGGACAGCCGAGGACACCCTGGGACCCTCTAGGAACCCCCCGGGACACCCGGGGACATCCTAGGACCCCATGGGGACACCCTGGGACACTCCGGGAACCCCAGGGACCCCTTGGGGACACCCTGAGGATCCCCCTGGAGACCCCCAGGGACATCCTGAGGACACCCCAGGGACCCTCTGGGGACACTCCGGGACACCTTGGGGACCCCCTGGGGACATCCCGGGACACTCGGGGACCCCCTGGGACACTTGGGGACACCCCAGGGACCCCCCGGGGACATCTGGGGACCTCCTAGGGACCCCCTGGGGGCACCCAGGCACCCCGGGGACATCCCGGGACCCCCCTAGGGACACCCCGGGGACACCCTGGGGACATCCCGGGACCCCATGGGAACCCCCCGTGTCCCCACTGTGGGGCAGAGCCCGGGGGGGTCCCGCTATGGGGCTGAGCTCGGCCCTGTCTCCCCACAGGCCTGGAAGGTTGGGAATCCCGGACCGTCATCTCGGACCGGGCGCACATCGGTGAGCGCCGGGGGGACATTGGGGACACGTTGGGGACATTGGTGACATTGGGGACATGTTGGTGACTTTGGGCACGCGTTGGGGACATTGGGGACACTGGGGACATCAAGGACTTGTTGGAGACATTGGGGACACGTTGGGGACATTGGGGACACTGGGAGTCCCGGACCGTCATCTCGGACCGGGCGCACGTTGGTGAGCACCAGGGGGACATTGGGGACACTGGGAACATCAAGGACATGCTGGAGACATTGGGGACATGTTGGGGACACTGGGGGCACTGGGAGTCTCGGACCGTCATCTCGGACCGGGCGCACATTGGTGAGCGCCAGGAGGACATTGGGGACATGGGGGACACAGGGACATTGGGGACACATTGAGGATATTGGGGTCATTGGGGACCCATTGGGGACACGGGGGACACGTTGGGGACACTTTGGAAGCACTGGGGACACATTGGGGGACTCGTTGGGGATGTTGGGGACACATTGGGGATGTTGGGGACACATTGGGGACATTGGGGATGTTGGGGACGCATTGGGGACACATTGGGGACGTTGGGGACACGTTGGGGACACTGTCCCCCCTCTCCATCCCCGCTCCCCTTTTCCCGCAGTCTTCGACTTCCACCAGGCCGTGGACGGGATCCAGGAGCAGCAGCGGCAGCAGCAGGACGGCAGGAAGTGAGCGGATCCCTGCGGATCGGGATGATTCCGGCTCCGTACGGAATGGGATGGACCCGGCTCCCTATGGGACAATCCCAGCTCCCTACGGAACGGGACGATCCCGGCTCCCTATGGAACGGCGATCCTGGCTCCCTGTGGGACGATCCCAGCTCCCTATGGAACGGGACCATCTCGGTTCCCCACAGAACAGGATAATCCCAGTTCCTTCGGGACTCTCCCAGCTCCCTACTGATTGGGATGATCCTGGCTCCCTATGGGACCATCCCGGCTCCCTGTGGGATGATCCCAGCTCCCTACGGATCGGGACTATCCTGGCTCCCTATGGGACAATCCCAGCTCCCTACAGGACCTTCCCAGCTCCCTGCAGGACGATCCCGGCTCCCTATGGGATGATCCTGGCTCCCTACAGAACAGGACGATCTCAGCTCCCTATGGAACGGGACCATCCCGGTTCCCTACGGAACAGGATAATCCCGGTTTCTTACGGGACCATTCAGGCTCCCTATGGAACAGGACGATCCCAGCTCCCTACGGGACCTTCCCGGCTCCCTATGGAATGGGATGATCCCGGCTCCTTACGGGACCTTCCCAGCTCCCTGCGGGGCGATCCCGCCTCCCTGCGGGACCATCCCAGCTCCCTATGGGACGATCCCGGCTCCCTGCGGATTGGGACGATCCCGGCTCCCTGCGGATTGGGACGATCCCGGCTCCCTGCGGATTGGGATGATCCCGGCTCCCTATGGAATGGGATGATCCCGGCTCCCTATGGAATGGGATAATCCTGGCTCCCTATGGAATGGGATAATCCCGTCTCCCTGCAGGACCTTCCCAGCTCCCTGGGGGGCAATCCCGACTCCCTATGGGACCATCCCAGCTCCCTACGGAACAGGATGATCCTGGCTCCCTACGGGACCATCCCGGCTCCCTGCGGATTGGGATGATCCCGGCTCCCTGTGGGACCATCCCAACTCCCTACGGGACCTTCCCAGCTCCCTACGGATCGGGACGATCCTGGCTCCCGGCTGGCTTCTTCCCTGCCGGGTTGTCCCAGTTTTCCCCCCATCCCGTTTTCCGGTGTCCCTCGGCAGCCTTGGGACAACCCGGAAGGGCATCGGCCCCGTCTACGCGGCCAAGGCGTCGCGCGCCGGACTCCGGATCTGCGACCTCCTGGCCGACTTCGGACAGTTTTCCAAGAAGTGAGGGCAGATCCGGAGCGGATTCGGGATCAGCGCCTCCGGGTCCCGGTTTGGGGCTCTCCGTGGGGACAGGAAGGGGTTTGGGGGCTCCATGGGGACAAAATCGGGATTGAGGGATTCATGGGGACAAAAACGGGATTGAGGGGGCTCCATGGGGACAAAATCAGAATTGAGGGGACTCCATGAGAACACAAAGGGGTTTGGGGGCTCCATGGGGACAAAATCGGGATTGAGGGATTCATGGGGACAAAAACGGGATTGAGGGGGCTCCATGGGGACAAAATCAGAATTGAGGGGACTCCATGAGAACACAAAGGGGTTTGGGGGCTCCATGGGGACAAAATCGGGATTGAGGGATTCATGGGGACAAAAACGGGATTGAGGGGGCTCCATGGGGACAAAATCAGAATTGAGGGGACTCCATGAGAACACAAAGGGGTTTGGGGGCTCCATGGGGACAAAATCGGGATTGAGGGATTCATGGGGACAAAAACGGGATTGAGGGGGCTCCATGGGGACAAAATCAGAATTGAGGGGACTCCATGAGAACACAAAGGGGTTTGGGGGCTCCATGGGGACAAAATCGGGATTGAGGGATTCATGGGGACAAAAACGGGATTGAGGGGGCTCCATGGGGACAAAATCAGAATTGAGGGGACTCCATGAGAACACAAAGGGGTTTGGGGGCTCCATGGGGACAAAATCGGGATTGAGGGATTCATGGGGACAAAAACGGGATTGAGGGGGCTCCATGGGGATATGGGGACAGGAGGGGGTTGAGGGGACCCTATGGGGACAGGAGGGGGTTGAGGGGACCCTATGGGGACAGGAGGGCCCTGGGGCCACCCCGTGTCCCCCGTGTCCCCCCCACAGGTTCGAGGCGCTGGCCCGGCAGTACGAGGCCACCTACCCCGGGCTGAGGATCGACACCGCGGCCGAACTGCGGCAGCTGCAGGTGGGTTGGGGGGACCCCTGAGGGATTGGGGACCCCCCCATGGGCTTGGGGACCCCCCTGTGCTTTGGGGGACACCCCTAAGGGATTGGGGACCCCTAAGGGTTTGAGGACCCCCCTAAGGGCCTGGGGACCCCCCATGGGCCTGGGGACCCCCCCCTGCTTTGAGGGACACCCCTAAGGGCTTGGGAACCCCCTAAGGTATTGGGGACCCCCCTGTGCTTTGGGGAACCCCTAAGTGATTGGGGAGCCCCCATAGGCTTGGGGACCCCCTAAGGGATTGGGGTACCCCCACATTTTGGAGAGCCCCCCAAGGGATTGGAGACCCCCCTAAGGGCTTGGGGACCTCCCTGGCATTTTGGGGGACACCCCTAAGGGCTTGGGGACCCCCCCCCTGCGTTTTGGGGAGCCCTCCAAGGGATTGGGGACCCCCCTAAGGGCTTGGGGACACCCTAAGGGATTGGGGACTCCCCATGCTTTAGGGAACACCCCTACGGGCTTGGGACCCCCTAAGGGTTTGGGGGACCCCCCAAGGTCTTGGGGACTCCCTTGCCTTTTGGGGAGCTGCTGGTGCGGGACGGGGTCCACTTCATGCACCAGGCGCTCCATGGGCCGCCCCGGAAAATCCTGGTGGAAGGAGCCAACGCCGCCCTCCTGGATATCGACTTTGGTGAGCGCCGCATCCGCCGGGATGCTCCCGGCATTCCCGGCATGGGGACGGATCCGTTTGGGATGTCCTGCTGCACCGGCTGGGAAGCTCCCGGGAATGCTGCCCCATTCCTGGGATGGGGATGTATCAGGTTGTGACCTCCTCCTAATGAACTGGCCGGGGTGCTTCCGGGAATC